GGGCAACCTGTGCCAGTGTTTCACCACCCTCAGCATAACAAATTTCTTCCTTATATCTAGTCTAAATCTACCCCCCTTTAGTTTAAAGCCATTCCCCTTTGTCCTGTCGCAACAGGCCCCACTAAAAAGTCTGCCGCCCCATCTTTTTTAAGCTCCCTTTAAGCACTGATAGGCTGACAGCATATATGATGTGCGTATATCATCATATATCATATATATGATGATATAATGACAGCATTTATGTGTTTTTCTTAATTATGTGCCAGCGTTTCTAGCAGCTGAAGTAAACACTGAACCCAGAAAACCCCCCCAGGCCCCCTTCTATTTTTTTTGGTTTAAAAAAAAAAAAAGTAGTTTAAAAAGCAGTCAGCAAAAACACCTACAATCTGTGGGCTTGACGACAAAGCTTTGGTGCTTGCAAAGCAAAAGCCCGACGCTGGCTAATCTTAAGGAGCTGTGTGCTGGGAAGCACATACTTACATTCTGCAATGGTGAGAGGCGGGTAGGTTAGATAGAAATTCACCAGCTCAGCTGACAGCTGATTAAGGAGGTTGCTGGAAATAGTGCCATTTAGAGTTGTGCTTTGATTGTTCACTACATAAAACAGAGTGACAGCTTGGGAGACATTGGAGGTGTTCAAAATCTGAAACAGAGGTAAAGAAATAATGTGTAGCTGTGTTTCAGCTCAGTTGGAAAAAAGAAAAAAAACACAACCAAAAAACCCCAAAACCAGTGCAAATAAACTGGGAGGAAGTTAACTTGAACAATGGATTAGGTACAGGTCACTCAACATGATTGTGTAGAACAGTTTATGATACTTTAATTCCTACTTTAGCACATGCAGAGTTACTGGAGAACAGCAGCAGGCAGAAAAGGTGCAGTCAGGACTGAAAATATTTTTCCCTGTTTTTTACCAGGAAATGTAAGATGAGGGAGGGGATGCTTATCAGAAAAAATGTTCAGTATTTGATGCAGAGGAATTAGGCCTGTATGTCTTGCTCTCTTTGCTGCCTTCCTAGTGCAGTTATCCAGACCTACACCTTTTCCATATGAAATAAAGGGATATCATGTCTCTTCTGCTTCTAGCATCATACGATTACAGCTCTCCTCCCCACTTCAGCTCTATGCTAGTGTCCTCCTGAGCCCAAATCTGATGACTGCATTTAAGGACCAATTCTATTTAGTGAGTACTGGATCAGACTTTCAAACACCAGTTTTATGCAGGAAGCAGAGAGGCGAAGGCGGGGCAGGAATGAAACATGTTTTCTCAGAAAACTCATGCCCTAGGACAAGAGGGATGTTTTTTGGTACTGATACTGTAGGTAGGGCTGACAGCATTCAGCATTCATGAGTGTTATTTAAATACCCCAGTTTTATGATTTGGATCACTAAGTAAAAACATAAAACATGGTATAATAAAAGAATTAGAGGAAGAGTTTGAGGTCAGACCAAAGGTCTGCCTAGCCGACACCCACTTACAAATGGCCAGGAGCAGATGGTTGGAGAATGAGCACAGGGCAAGAGGAGAGGACTCTTTTCCGCAGTGTAAGGTTAGCCCACAGCTATGGTCTGAGCCATAAATTATATGCTTAGGTTTAAAAAGGGTTGATGACCTTTTATTCTATATGTTTGGCCAATTGCTTTTTGTAACTTCCATACTTTTTCTCCAGTTACATCCGGCCATCTTCAAGACCTTATTACCCATTGTGTGAAAGGACTTTTCTTTTTATTTAAACCTGAGTAGTTCTATTATGGGAAACTAAATGATCACTCCTGATTCACTACTCATGGTTGGAGAACCATGGCCAATTTAATTTCTCCTTGCATGGAAGTTGTTTCATGCCTTTTACCCATGTTGCTGCCATTCTCTCTACTCTTGTAGTGCAGCAACGCCTTTTCTGAATCGTCTCCGTCTGCTCCAGAACTGTTTCTCAGTTTGTAATTAATCTAAAACCCTCGTACTATTTTCTGTTGCACTGACTTAGTCCTTTGCATGGTATTGGAATAATTTCAGAAAAATTTATCATGAAGATCACACCCTTGAGCCTCTTACTTCACAGTTTATATCTTGTCTCCAAGACCTCCATCCTATCGCTTCCTAAGTTGGCAACACCCACAAAACCCACAACTACCACCTTCTTCTAGGGCTCTTTACAAAATTGCCTCAGTGCTTTGTAAGATCTACAACATCTTCTGTGAGCAAATTAGCCACCATGAAGGTCTCCTCAGCATCACGGGTCCAGCTATTGAAAAGCTTGATAATCACTTTACCTACTGCAGTAGGTCATCTCTTGCCATGCACTTTTCTGCCTCTCTGAGCTCCTCCAGTTTGAACACAAGCTCACAAGAGACAGTACCAAAGTAACTAAGCAGAGCTCTGATGACCAATTTTCTCCTTCTGGTAAGCTACATGCAAACTATTCTGAGAAGCGCAAGTCCATACACAGAGTTGGTCACACGTCAATTACAAATCATAGCATCACCCAGAGGATAATTTATTTATTCCTGAAGTATGGCACAGAGCATAAGGGTGTTGGCCCACTAAACATATAGAATCATAGAATCATTAAGGTTGGAAAAGACCTCTAAGATCATCAAGTACAACCGTCAACCCAACACCACCATGCCCACTAAACCATGTCCCTAAGTGCCGCATCTACACGTCTTTTAAATACTTCCAGGGATGGGGACTCAACCACTTCCCTGGGCAGCGTGTTCCAATGTTTCACCACTCTTTCAGTAAAGAAATTTTTCATAATATCCAATCTAAACCTCCCCTGGCACAACTTGAGGCCATTTCCTCTCGTCCTGTCACTAGTTACCTGGGAGAAGATAATATAAATTAAAATACAAAGTTCTGCAAAAATCAGGCCCTTGATAGTGAATTTGGGTCTGCGAGTGTAGAACTGGAATGCACATAAAAAAGAAAGAAATATATTCCATTAGCTTAGATCTTACAAACAGCTACGCATGACACTATCTTTATACCTGAACAGCCTCACTAAGAGCAACTAATGTGTCAGAATAACATATTCAGTAAAAATATAAATTTGGAAGAATATTTTTAAATGTTTATTTTTATTTGAATTTCACTTAAATGATTTAAGTGTAAACAGTAAAATTCAAATTCATGAAAATAACAGTAACAGTCTTCTATAAATCATGCATTTATAAGTCTTCCTGCAATAAATAAAACAATCATATTTCAGATTAAAACATAAGCTTACTTCCATAGTGGCTGTCAAAGACATTATTTTGAAATACAAGCATACACATAGGAAAGAATAACCCAGAGAGTTTGGCAACAGGCACTGGCAAAGCACGCAATGTTGTACCTGAACTGTTAAGTTGTTGCTGGTGTTTAAGACCTTTCTTTCAGCATCCTGAAACGCTCTCTGTAACCGTTGCTCCATGGTCTGAACAAATTTGCATGACTGTATATTATCTGTTTGACCCACAAACTGCAGCTCTGGAAAATGAACAACATATTTGTATGTGGACAAAATATTCTTGGTTGCATAATTTCTGTAATGTCTGACAGCAAGATCACCAATTTACAAATTAAGCAGGTGAAAATAATGCCACATAAGATCAGTTTATGTCACTCAAGCGGTGCACTAAACTAGCCTTAATTAAGACAAAACGTAAGAATTAAATTGCATTATTAGAGCTGATACTCTCCACAAACAAATGGAGATTGTTTCTGCAGTGATATATAAGATGGTAACACCAGTTCACTGTACAAATACTTACTCAGAGCCAGGCAGTAAGTGAAATCATTCTAAAACACAAGTTTTACTCTTAAATCTTGCAGGTCATTTGCTCTTGCAAGACATAATCAATCATAATATTGATTCTCATTCTGTTTGTGCTAGGAAAAATATACTTAACCGGGTAATTGCAATAAGTATGTGTATATAAACATGTAAGCACACACGTAAGAAATCTTTTTACAACTGAATATGTTGTTTTACAGCACACTGCCCTCTCGTACCTTATACTGTTCTGCTGCACTGCAACTGCTCTGCAGTGATGCTTGCTACAGTACAGAGGGGTTACACAGCGACCCTGGGTCAGACGGCTGGGACCTAAGTCAAATCCAATGGGTCCAGCCAGAACAATGCATACATATATCATATAGTCACGTTTCTCATCTGATCGTCCTCAAAAGAAATGCACAGGTTACTGCACAACCCATCGATTAAAGTCCATTTTAATCAAACGCCAAGTCTTAGTCAAGCATATTGGCGTGACATCCCTAATGCAATGCCACTTCATTTCACAGCAGTGCCAACAGAGGTGACAGCAGAGCACCACGCAGGACAGGGATGTACATACCGGCTGTCCTGCTTGCACCAGGAACATCAACACATGAAACCGAAGGAGAGCTTGTCCTGCTGCTGCGCCGGAGAGCAGGGGCTGAGGCAGGACAGCAAAGGGGAGGAGGAGCATCGTCCCTGTGCACTGAACCATTCACACACACCCACACACACACGCACACAACCCCAGGCGCGCAGGACCTCGCTCACCTGTTTTCAGCTGGAAGTGGTATGCAGGAAGGGGCTCCCACGGCAAGGCCAGGGCTGCCACGGACTGGAGATGTGGTACATGCTGCTTTATGTCTGCTGTGGCATTGCTAATGTCGTACGCAAGAAGCCTTTCAATTACAGCAGCTGGCATAAAAACCAGTCTGCCCCGTGTAACGTAGTAACCAACTGTTACGTTATTTGATTGCTCCAGGACTTCAACCTAAAACACACAGGGAAACATTTTTTTTTTTATTTTGTTTGCAGTTCAACCACTATTTGATGGAACTTCTCATCCTGAAGGTAGGTCCCATGCAGGGTTTTTGTCCTGTAATCCCCTATAAACCCTACAGGATCAGTTAGTGTCATATCAGACATAGTATTAGCAAAACTGCTCATGGAGCTTTAGACCCAGACCATGCAAAATGTGCTCCAAATTGAAGCAGTGCAGTATTGCTACCACAGCTCACGTACCTCTAATTTAGACTGGGGTTTCATTCATGTGTATATATACTGGGACATTTTACTTATGAATGTAAAAATACAGAGAATCCAGAGAACACCCAGCTCCTACTTCATACCTGAAGTTCACTGACTTTGTGCATGTGTCTGTCATTGCAGGTTTGGAGACAGATTTTTGAAAGACAAAATTTTCCAATGTTTGATTCTTCAACCTCAACTGTCTCTTCTGTACTATTTTTCCTATACTGTCCCAGATGGTTAAGCTATCAATCACCTATATGAGTAGAAATGACAAACCACAAGACTGAACACACTGTGAGCCAAAGCATGAATTGAGTTTTACATCAAAATTCTGTATTTTCCAAAAAGTTTAAGCCCTGGAACTGGTCCTCCACACTAAGTTTTAGCTGGTTTCCTCTGTTAGGAAAAGGCAGCTTCTCTCAGGTTTACAAGAAGGTGAGAGAATAAGTCAGACTCAGGAATATACAATTCCCAAACCAAATAACATCATCCAAACTTGCAGCAGTAGAGCATGGGGACGGAAGTCAACCTGATTGCCCTCTATTTTGAGCAAAATTACTTTTTTCCTTCCCAGTGGCTTGGCGAGTATAACTCATAACAGCCTTGGACTCAGCACAAACCCCTGCCTAAGTGCACGGGAACCTGTGTTGCAGAGAAGAGTGCCCCAGTGATCCACCTAAGCCTGCTCTTACACACAGCAATGTAGAGGTTCGTGCAATTTAGCTGCAAAGTGATGAACACGTCTCCCTCATTTATTTTCAATAAAACATGCTTTCTCCCTGCTCAGGATTTTCGTCTCTGTGGAATTGCACTTGTCAGGTACTGGGTTTTCAAACCAGGGAGCAGACTGACAGCAGTGACACCCCATTTACCAGCCCTGCTCTTGCAATTGATCCAGGCTGAGCACAGCAGCACTTGGCTGACCATGAACAGGAGTCATTCCTGAGCTGCAGGGGGAGGAGGAAACTGCTGTCAGTAGTCATTTCCCAGAACATACCAAAAAGAAAGTTGCATTTCTTACTTCTACTTCATCAATAAAATGGCAAAAGCTTTGGAGCAGTCCTTATATTTTTAGATCCCAGAGTGGGTGCCACCTATTCCTGCTTTCCATAGGAAAAGCTCAGCGCTCCCCTCCAAGAGGCTTCCTGCATCCAGAGACACCACTGGAGCTGCAGCCAGATGGGATTCTCTTGGTGAGAGAGCTTTTTCCGTGATATCATGCAGGCAAGCTAAGCATGCTTACCTGAGCGCTGACATTTTGGTTGAAAGCTTGTCTCAGCACTTGGTTGAGTCCTTTTCTCACACTCTCCTTGAAGGGATTGCTGATCAGCGTCCTCCTTGTGTTCAGAAACAGAACTGTGGAACAACAAAAGCCACATGTTGGTTTGAGACATTATCATGCTACTGTTTGCTTTTTTCTTTAATTGTTTTACGTTGTGCTAGCTAGGTGAAGATCATCAAAGCAGCTAGGATTTGCAGCAGCTCCAATGGGAGCAAGAACTGCAGGGGCTCAGCAGCGTCCCCAAGTTCCCTATTCATCCCTTGGCAATAGCCCATTGTTTCCAGAGTGAGGTCTAAGAAATGCAATTTCTTTAGCAACAACAACAAGTCTTTGCCATGCTACTGTTCTGAGTGAGGTATGATGACACTCGATTGCCTGTGGACAGACTGGTGCAGCATTCCCAGGGCACTGAGCCGGTGCTGCACAGGCAGGCCTACGTAAAGGACGTGTGCTTCATACCTTCACGGCCAGAGTTAAGTAAACAAAGAAATGTGTTACTCCACCTCTACAATTATTTTCCTTTTAGGAAGCGTCTGTACACTTTCTTTGTTAAGATTATCATTAGCTTTTTCTTCTTCTCTTATAATTTGCAGAAAGATTTTTGTAGCTGCACTTCAGTACTTTCAATCATATACTGTATACAAGCTACTTCTATCTTTAGAAATAGTTGTTGTACTCATCACACTACTGACGTAGATATTTAGCAGCTACTAAACACACATTAGGTCCAAAAGCTGCTTATTTCATTGTCCCCAGTATCATTCAGTTCTATACAAGGTCATAAACCCTTTTACGTAGCTATTTTTCTTTGCTGAGATCTCCAAGATACACACATCTTCTGGTGCTGCACTGTGCTACCATAAGGAGTCCATATGAAACCTGGGCAAGGGAACCCTCCAGACCCGTTTAGTTCAGAATTCTTACAGCTAAGGAAAAGCTGTCTGTAAAAAAAACAACTAGAGCCAGAAGTGGTACTGTTCACATAGAAAGCTCAAAATCCTCCCACTTTGAAGCGTACAACTCTAAATGCTAAACATTATTTTCAAATGAATCTTTAATGATAGAATTAGGTATTCATATATAAACAGGGCCAAAGACTGAGGCAGGTTACTGCACTGTCTTCTTCAGTGATGCAGACTCCTTATTGCAAAGCAGAGACCAAACCGTCATGTCATACGGGGTTGTCCCTCCACATAGGTGCTTCTGCTAGATCCCTGCAGTGACCCACTGAATTTCAGGGCACCTGAAACTTCATGTGACACATTCATTGTAAAATCCAAGCTACAAATAAAGCCAATGCCATCCCTAGACTAGCAACCCTGCTTTTATCTGTCTGGTTTGTCAGTGCAGCAGCCTCATCCCCAGATTAATCACGAATGCCCACATGTTCTTTGACACTTGAGTGTCACCAGTTGTCCCTCATAGACAGCAAGGTCCTTTCAGCAAATTCAGTGGCCCCACGTACCTGTTTTAACCATAAGGTTCCTGGAGAGCCGGCAATCCAGGGGAGGAGCTGCTGTCATGTTAGCGAAAGCGGCTGCTGCCGTGGTTTCGGGAGGAGCAGAGGTGTTTTCCACTGGAGTAGGGGGAAGCCTAGTTGTTTTCGCTGATGCTGTAATAGATGTCAAAGCTGCTGTAATTGTCAGTGGATATGGGGTTGACGTTTTGGTGATGTCTGAGCTTGGGAACTTCTGGGTGTCAGTTACTGGTGTTTCTATCTGCCTTGGTACATGTGCTGTGGGTGCAAGCGTGGAAGCTGTGACTGTGCTGCTTTTAGGGCTTACGAGCATAGCTGTCACATCCACGGGTGATGCAGTTGCGTTTCTTGTTGCAAAAGGAAAATCTATATGTGTTCCTACTGAGCTTAGATCCGATGCCAATTTTGTGGCAGTGTTATTTTTTGTTAGTGTCAGTATTGGTGTGCTTAAAGCCATCACAGATGGCAAAGGTGTGTTTTCAGTGCCTAGAGAAAAGAAGGAAGAAGCTGGCACTGGTGAAGCTGAAGATGATTTTCTTGTTAGTGGTTTTGCTTCTGAAGTTCCTACTGTAGGTATTGCACCAGAAGATACTCCAGATAACACTGTAATGACAGAATGGGTAAAGTTGGTTGTTGACAAAAAAGGAGAAGTTAGTGGTGTTGGTGATGCATGGACAGAAGTTATGATGACTGACTGCAGAGCACTGGTGGTAGGGGTTTGCAATGGGATGCCCTTGGTAGCTTTATTAGATATATTACTGGGAACTAAACTATGTCTTGTAGCACTTGTGTCCCACTCCTCCACGCTAAATGTAGCTGGATTTTTATCAGCTGTAACCAAATAACCAGAGGACTCTAATTGGTCATCTGCAAATTCTGGCAAATTTCCAGAACCGATGTCGTCTTCTGTAATAAAACTATGCAAGAGAGTTGAGCTAGAAGGCTTGGTTATGGGAAAGGGGGACTCGGTTGGCAGTACGCTGTGGATGGCACTGTTCTCATAGCTGGCTAAAAAAGTCAAGTTGTCAGTGAGCTGAAAAGCCAACGATGCTGTTGTGCCTAAGGTTTTCGTCCATAAAGTAATCTTTCCAGCATTAGTTGTTTGTGATTCTGGAGAGCTAGGGAAAGCACCTGCATCATTAACAGGAGGCACATGTAAACGAAGAGGTGCTTCATAGTGTATACGGCTATTAACATCTCCAACAGTGAAGAAGTCAGCAACGTCTTCAGCTGTGCTTCCATACTTTTTTTGCAGGGGGTCAGGCACTGTCAAAGTGGTAGCAAGGGATGAATGCTGAACAGGAGATGTTTTCAGTGCAAATGCGTCTACATCAGATTCTGGAAAACTATTTGACTTTGTTCCAGCAAAGGGTAAATTTGAAACATTTTTACTAGAGTTTGCATATGAATAGTTTGCTGAAGGGGTGGAGAGGAGTGACTGCTCATTTGTATTCATTTTCTTTTGCAGACTCAAAACTACTGAGTATGGTACATGGTACTCGGTTTCCAGCTGAGAAGTACTTGGAGGAACTTCTCTTATTGCCGTTTTGACTGAAGTTTTTCCTGAAGGAATACTAATGCCAGCTGAAGACAGCAATGCTGTATTGGTCCACGTAGAAGCTGAAGTTGTGACTTCAGGAGAGCTGACAGTATCTAAATGGCTTTCAGAGTCCACACTCGAAATCCCAGAAAAGCTGGAGCCGTAGCTGTGCATCACCGTTGTCATGGAAACCGGTGATGGCCACATACCCCACGCTGGAGGCATGACAGAGATGAGATGCTTTCTATCAACTGAACCTGAAGTCTGACCAGAGGTAAAATGATTTAAAGCTCTTGGAGGTGAATATTCTGCACGTGGGGTCACAACAGTGGGTACTTTCATATTTCTGTCTTCATTTGCAGTCATGTCTGGAGTTTCTGCAGCACCAGGTGGAAGATGTGCAGCCACAAAGATACCAGTAGCAGATGTATTTGTGATAGCAGGTTTAGGTTTCCAAAGGCCTGTAGTGGAAGTAATTAACAGCACTGCAGCTAGATCAGGACTAGTCATGCCTGTTTCCAAAAGAGTGCCTAGTATCTTTGATCCTTTGGGGACTTTACTGGTTTGGATATCTGGAGAAACTTTGGGAAGCTGAGATCCATAAGGCAGAACACTATTAGCATTAAAGTTTGTGGACATCTTTGCTGTCACCCCTCTTGTGAAAGGCTGTTGAGCTCTTCTTGCCACAGGAAAGCCATCAGAAGTTGGGAGAGTATGTGCGGAAGCAGTTGGCAATCGCATGCCGTTTGCCCGATAAGCTCCATCAGACAGGTCTTCTGCAAAAGTCTGATTCAGAGCCACCACCGAGTACTGCGAGGAAACAGTCAAAGGGATTTGCAAAGTATCCTCATCAGCTGCTGCAGCACGGGGACTGTTTGTGTGTGCTGTCCTAGCAAAGGTGTCATTTGTCTCAGTTAGCAAGGGAGACCTTGTGCTTGTTGAAGAGGAGTGTGTTGCATTTCTAAAGAGAAAATCTGCTTCACTTCTAAATGCTCGTACTGGCAGCACTGCATTGCGAGCATGCTTTGCATCTGGAATAAGTGATTTTGGCAATGAAAGGGAAGACATGCTCTCTGTTGAGCTGGAGGCCTCAGCCAGGCTCTTGGAAGCTGATGACATGAAAGGTGCACTGGTAGAGCCTGTAGTGCAATTAGTCAGTGCTGTGGAAGACTGAGGATGACTCATTTGGGGTATTAGATGTGGAGTACCCACAGGACGGAAGACTGCTGTAGGAACCTCTGCTTTATCCTGAAAAACTGGTGATGACAGAGGAGTGATATCACTGTTTCTGTCAGTCAACGCTGCCTTAAATGGCTGACTCTTTGGTTTTACTCCAGTAGAAGATACATTATACATACTCGCATTAGGAAACCATGACAGGCTTCTGGAAGTTACTGGCAGGGAAGACTGATATGTTTTTGACACAGGAATATCAGAGTATACAGACAAAAAAGAGGTCCTTTCTGAAGGAGACCCTTTTCCCACTATTTCTGTGAAATGCACTGTTGTTGATCCAAAGAGATTGAAAGGCATGGCACCCGTAAACAACTCGGGACCCTTTCTGTGATCCACTGTACTGGAATGCACTACAGTGACCGTAGTGCTTAGAGGACTATTTCTGCTTTCACTAACCTGTGAGCTGGCTGAATCTGTGTTGAAGAAACCTTCAGGATCTGCAGACAAAGGTGCTTTGATGGGCAGTACAGCTGGTTTAGAAAAGTTAATGGTATGAGGTGACTGAATTACCAATGAGGAGAATGATGGTGATGGAACAGCAGCAAGCATGTCTGATCCTGATGTGCTTTCTTTTGAAATGGAGGGTGTTTCTAATGGTATTAGCTGAAATGGCACAGCTGTACTCAAATGTGTCACTGATGGTGTAGTGGACAATGTGGCAAACATACCAAGTTGAGGCAAACCTGATACAGCAGCTGCAGCTGTTTCATCTGCATCTTGAGATGATGACCTCAGAGGCGACTCAGCTGAAACTTCAGCGGGTTCCTGGGATGCACTGTTTCCACTGCCTTGATAAAGGGTGGGCAACAGATGAGTTTGATCCGAAGTCCTGGTACGTGTGCCAGTCAGTGTTGTTTTTATCATCTGAAGCAAGTTTGCATTCTCCAAAGTCTGTCCCATAGAAATATCAGCTACTGAGGAGGTCTTAGTTTCTGTGGAAGGCCGTGTTGGTGATAGTATAGATCTCCAATTAGGAAAAGATCCTGTAGAAGGAGCAACATTGATATGCTGTTGCCTGATACCTGTAAAATATTAAGTAAAATTAGCATATTCTTCCCAAAAAGGAGGAGCAGTTGTTGTCTTGTTGCAAAAAATCACAACACAAAATGCATTATGTTTAGTAAAATTAGTGAACTTTTTTTTTTTATTCAAAGGGCATAAAAATTCAGAGAAAGTTAAAAAAAAACCCACCACAAAAAACAGTGAAAGGTACAATGTGACAGATTATAAACGCCTCAAGTCATTTCATTTGACAGAAGAGTAAGGATAGCTTCCTAGACCATACTATTTCAAAATACTACTTTTAACTAGGACGGTTCAACATACTAAAAGACACCTTCTTAAGCTTGGGACAATTCCTGAGGTTATCATCAGTCACCCAGTGTCAAAATATTATGTGAGAAGGTGGGTTTAGAAGCAGTGTAGAAAAGGAATAGATTTTGACAACCAAGCTTCACTGACTTGGCATGCAGTCTGACATGGGAATAGAGTCAGCATTGGCTGGGTTCCTGTAGGATGCATCTGGAGGTGCTCATCTTGCCAGTTCTAATAATGCATGCAATTATAGGCACAAAAGGAAGAAAATAAAACAGGGATGAACGTGAGGAAAGGGGGGTAAGATCCAAAACAAATTAGGAAATTAAACTCCTTTTTTGATATGTGCAGATGTACAACGCAGCATTTCAAACACCAGTTTACTCTACATTCAACACCATAATGTTCCTAGGCTTTGTTTTCTTAAAATGATTACAGTTATTCTAAAATCGTAGCATGGGAAATCTCACATTCCTACTAATTTAACGATTAAGATTCACTCAAGAGTAAAATTTAAGGGGTTTTTTCCCCTCCCCCCTGCCAAGATAATAGATCAAAACTCAGTACTGGCACTTGCTACCAAGCCAAGCTGTGCCCTTTGCATAGCGAAACAGAGGCACAATACGGAGGCAGTCCCTGCCCTCCAACTCCAGTGCATCTGGATCAGACACAGAGGATGCCAACCTCCTCCAAACCTGTAATGGCATGGAAGACTAAGGAGGGGCAGACCTTGAGATACATGGTTATAAAACAGGCTGGACATTAGTTCCAGCCACTGACGAACCCAAGGGTCAACAGAGCCAACAGCACCAAGAGAGACCAGCCCACACTAACAGGAGCCAGCAACAGAACACCATACAGAGCGAGAGAGGAAAATGGGTCACGCTGCACCTATTTAAAGCTAAGTTTCTTTCTTGCGATGCCCTTGTGCTACACCGCCCATCATCCATATGCGCAGGCCAAAGTAGATGATTAGACTAGCTCCTTCAGGCTCCTGCGTGCATTCAACAGGAACGTGCTGCAATTATGTTCAGTGTTTCACTCTATAAACAAAAACAACCCACAAAAATACCCCAAACAAATAAAACGCAGATCTTCCCTTTTATCCCTGTATTAAGAGCTTTATTAAGCCATGGTGAAGAATCTTTCCTCCACTGAAACGCAAGAATGAATACAGAATCCAGAAACAAGTTGCTTTAGGGGAGCAGCTCCAGGATGGGTAACGAAACAGAGCTCTGCCCTTGTAGCAACTAAAAAAGTCCCCAAACCTTTCTTTTAACATGGGCTAACTTGCACACTAGCATTTTGGAGAAAAGCAAAGGTAGGCAGACACAGGGCTACCTACAGCAATGAGAGAGAAGCAGGCTAAGGGGAAACCCAGTCAGCCTTTATGAAGCTGCACCAGTTGATCAGCAGGCTGGAGAGGAGGCTGCAGAGTCCAGCAGAGAACCTGACCCACTAGGAGAGGTTTGCAGCACAAAAGTAATGTTTTTGTATTTGTGCCGTGGCTGCTGATGTGTCACTGGGGGGCTGGACACACTGAATAAAAACGTCACCTAACCACTGCGTAATGCTCGTCCTTCAGTTCTTGTTTCTTCCGTTCCATACCAACTGGCAACTTTCCTGTTTACGTCCATTAATGAAGTAAAGCTCTTGAGTTACTGAAGTTTTAAAAAAATTATAGCATATTCTGCAACCGATATACAATGCTGGCATTCCACTGCAACAAATTTTCTTTGATTCTACCTTTACAGAAAGATACTATCAGTATCTATTTCAAACTTCTGCCATAAATTCAACATCTTGATAGTGACTAGACGCAGCTTGCAAAAGGCAAAATTATCTTCCCAATACATGGAGTTAAAACTGAAGTACATACTCTTTACTTGATAATTGGTAGGATGATATAAACAACTACAGATCCTTATCAAATAGTGTGCAAACAAAGACTGTGTCATGGAAAAAGGGCAGACATGGGAAAATATTTCACTTCTACATCTCTCAACAGCTGAAAACACTTGATGAAAGGAGAAGACAACCAATTCCAACCAATATGAAAGTCACAATGAGAATTCCATCCCGTGTGCACTGTGCACCGAGCCATTGCTTGTACATACCAGTAGCTGTTTCTCACATCTTAGGATTACCTGTTATTCTTTCATACTTCAGGCTATTGACTAACCGCCACCTCTAACAATCCTAAAACCCATTTAGCAGTAACCTCATTACAACAACCATCATTGATTAGGGATCTTTCCATTTGCAATAATGAGAAACAACTCCAATATGCCACAGCAGGAAGTTAAAAATTTATCATCTAGTTTAGAGAAAAATCATGGCTTTATCATTCCTGAGCCCTTTTGTGCACACTTAAAGGAGTAACAGGGACCAAAGAAGAGCACAGAGGTGACCAAGAGGAAGACCAACATCTCCCCCCACCCCACCTCTACTAAAGTAAAAGGGAAAGCAATGGGGAACACATTAGCATACGCACCCTGTGCCTGTTCAAAGGTTGAAGATGATGCACACATCTAATTAATATTTGACAGTAAATAAGGATGATGAAGTTATGCACCTCTGGAGCAAGAAGTCTCAGTTATTGTCCAACTTCTGCCCCTGCTGCTGAGACACCACTGTTGCATGTTATTCTTCACACAGGTTTGGTTATTTCTAGTGAGACAGTTAGTTGGTAAGCAAATCTCCCCTGGAAAAAGTAGTGGCCAACTAAAATGCTGTAAGATCTGTATTTCATAGAATCATAGAATATCTCAAGTTGGAAGGGACCCATGAGGATCATTGGGTCCAATTCCCTGCTCCTCGCAGGACTACCTAAAACTAAATCATAGACTTAGAGCATCGTCCAGATGCTCCTTGAACTCTGACAGGCTTGGTGCCGTGACCACTTCTCTGGGGAGCCTGTTCTAGTGACCGAACCACCCCCTCAGTGAAGAACCTTTTCCTAATGTCCAGGCTGAACTAACCCTGACGCAGCTTCATTCCATTTCCTTGTGTCCTATCACTGGTCACCAGAGAGAGGAGATCAGCACCTCCCACTCTGCTGCCCCCCTTGAGGAAGTTGTAGACTGCAACGAAGTCACCCCTCAGCCTTCTCTTCTCCAAGCTTAAGACGACAAGTGACCTCAGCCGTGCCTCATAAGGCTTGCCCTCGAGGCCTTTCACCATCTTGGTTGCCCTCCTCTGGACACACTCTAATAATTTGACGTCCTTCTTATACTGTGGCACCCAAAACTGCACACAGTACTCAGTGGGGCCACACCGTGCAGTATATGAAGAGATCAAATTGCTTATCTGTGCTGCTGATACTTGAAACCGTGGTCCTTTTTGCTTTATGCCATAATAAGGCAAAGATCTATAATGAGCAATGTGAGCGTTCTGCGGATGCCACAGCACGTACTCTCTCGTCTGCCCTGCCTGCCCATCGGCAGACAACCAGCAAGAGGAGCAGCCACAGAGAAGCCTGTAGGACCCCAACAGCAGAGTTTCTCTCAGGACAGATGAATATCTGTTTGTTAACATGCTCACAAAATGAATTCAGCTCCAACTGAATTAAAAAAAACAAAACAAAAAAAAAACCACCCACCACACAGTCAGGATTCAAACATTTCCCTCCACAAAAAGGCAAAAAGAAGTTTGAGAACCTCAACTGAGTAACAGTCTACAACTCTACTGAAGGAAACACAATGACTGTCCAGAGCTTCCCTCACACTGTCATGGCAGACGAGAAATACTGTTTTGCCACTTTTGAGCCATTACGAAAGATCAACTCAAAGGTGTATTCAACCACAGAAGATTTCTGTTGTCATGACTTCCATTTCATTATTCAGATTGTCGTGACTTCCATTTCATTATTCAGATCATCTGGGTTAGTAACATTTAAGAGTGAAGCTGAGAAAAAGGACATATGAAAATTTTATTGTACAACTGACCAAGACATCTTCCCATTATACGTCAGGTATATATCTTTTCATAACCTTCAGCATATTGAAGACAGGATTTCAATTTTCAAATGGATTTGCTTTAATTATTAATTTCTGAGACAAAAAATATGACTAAGTTGTGAATTATTTTATTAACTATTGTAAAGACTAAAGTTTAATAATATAATAGTATCTATATAAGAGTAACTATAGCCATCTAAAGCACAGCAGAAATCCAAACATTAAATTACATAAGCCATCTGGATTTTATACAGGTCTAAAACAAACAGCCCCTAAAGCAAAACAATTCCAAAAAAAAATTAAAAAAAAAAAAAAAAAAAACAACAAGAAAACCACCACCCAAAAAACCCCAGCTTGTCAGAAACACAGTTACTTACAAACATACATAAAATAACAGTCTACACACAAGATAAGTACTATTGAGAGAGACCATTGGCTACTTTACCAAGTAATAGATAGCACTATCCTAGGGCTACATCACCTCTTTAAAACAATGCCACTAATATATGAAAAATGCATTTATTTTTTTTTTTCCTTCTCACAAGTACAAAGTTTTCTGCTTATTATTGTTTCACTATGAGGGACTGAGTGATCAAAGGTCAGATGTGACCGGTACAGGATATGATA